ACAGAAGGACAGACTGTGGGAGGGACAGACGGTCGTTGTGCCGTCAATTGGTTTTTCGATATCAAGAACCCGCTTTCATTCTGGCTACACCACATATTAGAGATTTGTTTTAAATTTAGCAACTGGATTTATTCACTTTTTCGTTGTGTCCTGGCAATGAATTTTTTATCTGCCGAAAGTCCACCTTTTTATCGCGCCACATTACATAGCTACTCCTATGCAACGTATATTACTCCGTATATACGTATGTATACGGGAAAGTAAAAAGGGAAGCAAACTATCGACAATTTGTTCGCATATCCGCAAAGTTAGCAAACACACTTATCACAAAATTGAAAAACAGTATTCCAGAATTTTGTTCTAATTAAGGACTAATTTATACCCAAATTAAAAAAAAGTCTACTAGTGCATAACATCAAAATATTTAACACTAAAAGAGGCTACGCTAACTTAATGTAAAGTTAGCATACCCATACAAGAAAACGTAATAAACAAAAATCTATGTAAACCAAAATCGTGTTCTAATTAAGAACTATTTGATACCGAAATTTATACATTTTTAACCGGTGCAGAAAATCTAAATATAATTCAACATTTCAAATTTAACAAATAATATTCAACATTTTTGATATCTCTTCAAACGACGTTTTATTTTATAAACTCAAATTTCGCGAATTTCGACATGCGCCGGGTATTTCCAGAAAGCAGAGTCCTAGCACGAAATATAATGGAGAATACTCTGGTGATAATAATTTTCCCATCAGATACTCAGTTTTGGCGGAATTCTCGAATTCGTTCGAAACGAAGGTGATTTGTATGAAATATTGAATGTAAACGTTTTGATGTTGAACATGTTCCTTAGTACTTTGAAAATTTTGAAAATATCCCAAGGGCTTGATGTAAATTACTTCTCGAAATCAAAATACCGGTTTTAAATTTAAGAGGATGAGACATAAGCTACATGGATTGGGGAATATGAATTTTGGAGAAAATCGGTTGAAGGGTTTAACCGCTAGAGACGGCCAAATGGGGAAAATTTGGGAAAACGGTGTATATAAAATTTCGAATTAAAATCTGAGAAAACGTAACTAATTAAACATATGAGAAACCTCTGACAAGTATATGAAAAATAAATGAATACATTGAAATATTTTAAGATATAAAAGAGCTGCTCTCGCTTGACAAGATCAGAACAACATTATTAGGTATTTTAGACTTTACGGTACAAAAGTAACATGTAACTCATACATACTCACTGTTTTAAAACTGGAACAGTCAAATTCTTTTGTATTGTTTCTTATTACAAAATTATTTTATTGAGAATTTTAATTCGTAAGTGAACATATACATGTCGTACGAAACAACCCGCACTGAAATAAACATCGCACATTTCTTACTTCTTATCATATAACTTAAGATTGAAGCTTTTGAGCGCAACATTGTGATAAGCAATAAAAGATTGAAGACACGCCCCAAACACAGACCCTGAATATAGACTACAATGAGACGGTACCACATACGCGGCGTTTTGATCTCGTTCAAGAAGGCATCTCGATTCACATGAAAATACTCTTGAAAATTTACCTTTATATCTGTTAACAAACAATCTTGTATAAGGCTTCTGGAGTGGAGGCTTTAATCTCTACCTTGGACCGATGTCTGGCGCAGGTAAGATGCCGACATACGTTAGTTATCATCTTGTCTCGCTTCATTTTCTGAACAACATTTAGATTCAAATAGAATAAATGATCTTACTGAAGAATCTCGTAAATATGCATTTTCCTAACGAAAAGTTTCTGAATCACGTTAAATAACGGGCACGGGGCGGTATATCGAACACACCGTTTTTTTAGACAAGAAATTGCGTTTGCGTATGCGTTGAAAACTGTTTTTAAACATTGCGACTTATGTGACTTTAACATTCTTGCAATCACTTCGAACTACCTGAGTGACTGGCTTAGATACAATTTTATTGATTAGTTGATGTAATAAAACCCATTTATAGGGACCTAAGTCAGCAGCATCGTTTGAGAAAATGTCTTCATGGGAGGACTATTGTCTGAAACTACTGAAAATCAAATAATATTGACAGATATTTTTTATTAATTCGATTTGCTTAAAAAATGCAAGGTTGTATAGGTAGGACAAGTAATTGAAGTAACTGGCAGTACTACTTACAATGAGAAAGTAATGCAGAGGTACGGTGAGAAATGGGTTGTTTTTCCAAATGAGGATGATATTAGTGAAGTTGAAAACGATATAAATGTCAAACTTCCCCAGCAATACACATTAGGAATACCGCACAACACGATTTGCACACAGTGCAAATTTCAAAACTTTTGCTATGAATTTCAACTTTTGTAAATTCTGTACTCTTCTCTTTTTCGATTGAATATTTCCCAGTTGGCAAACGCTTTATTAAAATAATTGTGTAGTTTGTCATCTGTAAATAGAATATTTGATATTTATCTCAATATTAGAAATTTGGCAAAGACGTGAGGTATTTTGGTGTCGCGGCGATCGTACATCATTTTTAAGCATTTTGAAGAAACTCGACTAAAAAGAAGAAATGTTTGTTTTGTAATACAAATCGTCTTACAAGTATTAACAATGTAATTTACGTTCTTCGCATACGCCAGGAAGTGACTTTTGCGAGGAAGACGCAATATGCAGTACAGAGTCCTAGATACTCAGAATGAAATTTAAACGCATGTATCTCACAAAAGATTGTGATATTTTATTACAATAATTTCCTTCAACCTTTCTATAAATTATAACAATTTGTCTCAAAGCAGAAGTAAGCGAAAATTGGAACTAAAAGCCTAAAAGAAAATAAGATATCTATATTGTACAATCCAAGTAAGTTCATTTACAACTTAAAAATTTATTCACAAAATTGAAAATAGTCTTTACTGGAAAAAGAATACCTGACTCTACAAACTGAGATATTGAGATGGATATCTTGCAAAGTCGACGTGTACTGGTTGAACCAATATGGGCTTTCTGTATCAGACTCGGCATGGCAGAAGACGGAAGCAAACTGAACCCTACTTTCCAGTTCAGTTTTGATGGCTTAGGACGGTGTAATGAATGTCTGATTATGTTAATGTAAGGGGGGTGGCTCTGTCTCACGATATGCGAAATCTAAGCGTCACGAGTGTAATTTGAGTTTTTGGAATTTTGGCCAGATTGTGGGCATCACAGTGCACCCTGGAGAAGAGGTAGCTACCCTACCGCCACAGACCTCGTAGATCCTTCGTAGTCTTTTACAGTACCGGCAGCATACCCACTCTCGCTTCTGTCACCGTCACTTCCAAATGATATTATCGAATGTTCAACGTTTTCTTCTTGTGTTCACTTTTTTAATTCCCGCTAAGAGCTCCTTACCACATCATTTTTATTTCCTGCCAAGTGCATCCTTACCACATCCAAGTTGCCTGGTATGCAACGGCAGGCACATTTCATTCGCACTGGTACTTCCGATGACAGGGATCTGTGCACTTCTCCAGCGACTTCGAGTGAGCCAAATGAACAGCAAAGCTGAACCCTCGCTGTGAGAAAGCAAACAAATCCTCGCAAGCTGATTACTTCCGAGCAGGTCACATGACACATCACACTACTTGGCGAGAGAACTGTCATTCGCTTATACGCTGTCGGTACTGAAGGTTCCCTTCACATGACGCCACTACAAAAGTGTAAGCAGCTCTTCGAGTGGCGCGTCTGCTGGCAAAGCATTGGTTTAAATGAGGATATCCACACAAGCTGCGGACTCGCACTGCTGTGGCGAATTCCCGTCACTAGCAATACAGACGCGCGTCCGTGCCACCGCCAGCAACACAGTTCTAAATGGCAGGCTTCTTCACACTAATTGCGATTTATGCTATTCTGCCCCTGACAGGAATCAGCGGTTGACGTTTTTATCCAATCAGGAGCTTGATGGAACTGTCAACCGCTGATACCTGCCGGGAGCAGAGTTGCGAAAATCGCAGTATAGCTCACACAGGTATGCCAATGCAACGAT